TCAAGGAAATTAAAAAAAATGGCAGCCGAACTACGTCAACTTAGCACCACCATCAAGACAGGTTGGATCCCGGGCCATGCAGGAATCCCCGGTAATGAAAAGGTGCATAAACTCGCTCGCGCGGCGCTCGTTTCTTTCCGCGAGCGGGGTGAAGCACCCACATCCTCACAACCACACGACCACGGATACGCCGCACCCGGTAATGGGAAGACGCTTTGTGGTGACGAAGAATATGATCCTGACGAGGAAAAGATCCTAATCAAGGAGAGCTACAGAACAAGATTGTGGGAAAGCCTTCCCCACACGCCCGACCTTCTACCGAGAGGGATCGGAAGAAGGGACAAGGTCCTCCTCACCCACATCATGGCAGGCGCCACCCGCTCACCGGCACGCATGGTCGCATGGAGCAAAGGAAGACGCTCCAGCACGTGCACTAAATGCACGAACAACATAAAAGGGGGCATAACTCATCTCTTATGAAAATGACCCTACTACCAACAAATTCGGACCAAGTTCAAACCCATATATGCCGAGAACCTGGACGACTTGGTTCACCCAAAGAAGTCATCAGACTAAGAAAACGGCCAGTTTAGTCTCCTAAACTTCGTGCTAGAAGCGAAGCTGAACGTATATGTGTAGATTTTTTCCTCCCTCATTTTCTTTCCTAGTGCCACATGCCCAGACGAAGATGTCACTCAGCATATTCCCCTCACCTTCACCTTGTATTTGTGGCAAGAAAAACGCCTTCTAAATCTGAATCTGCAGGCGAGCCGGTAATTAATCAACATCTTCTAGACCCTAAAATGGAAAACAAATAAAAAAAAAAACAAAAAAAAAAACGGACGTTCGTTTTTTTGTATTATTCCCCATCTCAGGGTCTACAAGATGTTTTTTGCCTTATCCAGAAATGGCGCTTCATATTCACTGGACGTAAAGCGCTGGAAGAATTAAAATTTTATAAACAAGTACCGCCAAGCTGGTGTATGCTGGGACGCGCTTGAGCCAAAAATGGCGGAGCGTCACCACCAATCTAGTGTGTAGCGGCGGCGCGGCGCCGGCCTCTACAGTAGACCAATGGGAGCGTGCTCGCAAACGGCGGCTTGTCACTGGCAGCCACAGCAGACCAATAGGAGCGTGCGCGTCTGGATGTGGCTCGAAAATAGCGACGCGTTACCGGCACTCAATAGGAGGGCCCGCGGCACGATGAAACAATGACGATACTTGCATAAGTCAGGATATCTAGCGCTTTAACTGGACGGTGAATGGACGCGCCGAGCGAAAAAGCGCGCTTTTATTCGAGTTTTTGGTTCCGCGGGATATTTTCAAAAAAAAAAAAAAAGGTTGTTTGGGTTTTAAGTTGACTTTCACAATGCGGAAAGTGTCACGCCATAAATAATAAGAAATAAAACTGCCAAATGCTGCCCCAGAAATAACGTACCTTCCTCTGCACAGGTTCTTGTTTCGTAAATCGTCTGCTTTCGCAATTTGACGTTCGCGCTTTTGCGTCGATGCGTTAATTTCATTTCTCTTCGCTGTTTTTTTTTTAGTTCTTGTGTTCAACGCCTCACCATGCAACAACTGAGCTCTAAGGAGAGGTTCCAGGTGGTCCTTTGGTATACACAGACAGGAAGCTTCAAGGGAGTGCTAGCGATGTGCCGGGCCGCCTTCAACGAAAGATCACCCGCTCGGTCCACTATCATCAAGTAGGTGAGAAGGCTTGCTCAAAACGGAAACGTGAAAAACGAATCTGCGAACCGTGCAGAAACATCGCCGAAACGAAGAAAGCAGCAAGCCGTTCTCGACGCTTTCGAAGCGGAGCCCCACCTCTTGATCAAGCGTGCTGCCCGTCTGCTCAGCGTAAGCCTTCCTGTAGTGAGTGCTTCGCCGGCGAATGTACCCGTTCAAAGCTCAGCTCCCGCACGAGCTGAATCCGGAGGAGGACGCACGGCAAGTGCAGTTTTGTGAAGACGAGCTGGCGCGGATTCAGGCCGACCCCAGCCACTTGCTGGGCTCTTCTTCACAGACGAAACCGTTTTCATCTCGACGGCCGCGTCAACAAGCAAAACTGCAGGCTCTGGTCTGGCACGAACCCACACTGGTCGACCGAACATGCTGTTCAATCGCGGAAAGTCGTCCTGTAATGAGGCAAACGGCGAGAGGGTGTCGTCGGCCCGTTCTTTTTCGAGTTGACGGTGACGGGTGACTTTTACCTTAAGATCAGATCATATCAGATTTTATTTCCTCAAAGGTATCCCAATTGGGATACATTACATGGGGGGGGGGGGGGGGGGGAATATATACAACATTCAATGCACAACAATAAAATGTAAACAGCAAAACCACAAAAAAACATTCACTGATCACACTTTACAAATGAGAATTACAAATGTCGCGAAATCTGTTAATATCAGTTTCATGGACGATGTGAGCGGGTAGGGGAATTCCAGTCGGCAATAGCAAGTAAAAAGGGGGGGGGGGGGGGGGGGGAATTTTGAAATTTTTTTTTGTTCTGAAAAAGGGAGGCCGAGTTTTTAGTGGATGATCGCGGCGCTTTGAAATGTAAGATGGAGGCTACGAAATTCTGATGATGAGTAGCAGATGCCATAAAGGAAAGCAAGACAGGCTAGTTTGGTTCTAACGGCTAGAGGTTTCAACTCCAGGTTGGTTTTAATAATAGTGACACTCGAGGTTCGTGAAGAGTCATGCATGATGTATCGTGATGCCATGTCTCTGATTGGAATGGAACCCAGGATAACCTTCGTTCTGCAACACGGGCGTTCACTTTATTGATTCCTTTTTGAATTGTGTAAACCAGTAAACAACATTCCCCTAATATAACGGGCAGAAATAAATGGTGGCTGGCTTCCGAAGTCGTTTCATCTAAATCCCCGATTATTTACCGGTCGATGTGAAACGTGCAAGGCCATCTCGCGATCGAGGTCTGTTAGATCTAGTAAGTCGGTGACACTTCATCGTCCAAAAAAAAATGAGGTACAGTACACCTGCTATGAATTTCGACCGGTTGAAAGGTTAATTTCGCGTACCCAATGTATTGCGCAAAATGCGTGATGCGCGTCTCAGTGGGCGATTTTAAATTTGTAAAGAGCTCTTAGCAAAACTTGTACAGAACAAATTAATCAATCAGCAGAATTTGTCGGGCCGTGGCCGAGAATTTATGAAGTTATGAAAATATCTGCTTTTCTTTCGAGCAGAAGTCACGATATGACAATATTCTTTGCCGCGTATTCGATGCGGGATGAGCTAAGCCTTAGTTGCTGACTCAATGTCGCTAAAAGAAGTGTGCGGCGCTTTGCGACACAGCTGTGCGCGTGCACAGCTAAGATGGCAACACGTCATTCACTCTAGTGAATGCAAAACCCTTTTCTACAGGAGCCTCCGCAGATACAAAAAAAAAAAAGGAAGAATCAGAGAGGCCGTGAATAGCCTTGACGCTCGCCGCGCAAGCTGTAATGTGAAGCTCCAGTTGAACATCCTGCGGTTTTGTTTAAATACAAAAAGCAATTTCGAAGCCGCAATCACTCATTAGAAAGATTACTCACAATAACATCTTACACAATTCTTTATAAATAACCCGAATTTAATTGGCATAGATGCGAACTAACATAGCCGCTCCGTGCTATTACACAGCGCGTCTTCAGCTCGTATCCCTCCCGCTTCGTCACAGGAGGGCGCCCCCGAGGTGGCAACACCAAGACAACGGCCGCTGGTTTTACTGTATTCTTGAAACTTCACATGTAATTGAGCTCTAAAAGAATGGATATAAAGCTTTTTATTTTTTTAGTTACGTTTGCGTGCCCAGTTAGGTACGTACGCTTCGGATATACATTTTTCGAGGCGCGGCAAATGCGCTGGTTTTTGCGGCCGCTGTCCGTACACCGGATACTAGCAGCAACAAGAGATGTGATATGATGCGGCAGGTTTTGCAGCTGTTACAGCAAATGTCCTTGACAAAATTTTGCAATTTTGCTTTTTTTTTTGTATAACCGAAGTACGGATGTAAAAACTACACATGAGGGCATTCAAAAATTCTGAAATAAATGTCTCTTAATGCTTCAAATAAAGTTGGAAGACACCGAATCTGCACCGTGTTGTGTTGTTGTCCTTGTCGTTTGTTGACGTCGTTGTTTATGGTCGTTGTCGTTTGTTGCCGTTGTCGTTCGTTGTTTTCGTTGTCGTTTATGGTTGTCGTTGTTGTTCTTCGTTTGTTGTTTAACTGCCCTCGGTTTATAGAAAGAGTGCAACCAACCTCTGCTGCGCTGTCCTCGCGCGACGCAGCAGAGGCTGGCTGCACTATTTCTCCACGGGGCGCGGTGCCGTCGGGGCCGAGGTGCGCTCCGATAGCAAACCGAAACTTAAAAACACGTCGAATTTGTGCGGTTTTTCAGAAAGTCGTAAAATGCTTTTTGTGCCTTCTGTCGTTCTGTAATTTGTTGATTTAGTTTTTTTTTATTATGATGAGCAATTTTCTAATGGAAACCATGTCCTTAAACACAATATTAAAAAGTTAATTACGCAAAAATAATTAACAACTTAATTATCCCGGACTTTATTAATTTTTGTAAATAGACCCCTGGCCCAGGACCAAAACGACACAAGCCGTTTTTTTCTTTTTGACGCGTAGTTTTTGCAATATCGAATTTGTTCACCTTTCGTGAAACACCCTGTATATAAAAAAAGAAAAACTTGCAGTCCTTAGAATTGCCATTTTGTGGTTATTGTTACAGTTACCAACACTGCTGATTTTAGAATAACAATTACTGATTTGTTAAACGATGTTTCGTAGTAATTTTGTATTGTATTTCATTGCTTTTTTGCTTTTTCATGTAAGTTGCAGAACCTCACTCCTATCTGTTATGCCTTGAGAGGAGATAAATGAAATTGAGTATAAAATAAAACTGAAAAGTAAGGGCCAGGGTATTTTTAACAGTATCTACAGATTTTATTTTTAAATTCCATGGCTCCAGTCGGCAGATTCTTACATGGCTGCGAAAACCCTTGGCAACCGAGGCTTGTAGGCGTGCGCAAGGAACACTTTGACCATCGAGGGGCGAGTCGCCGGCATCTTTTTCGGCCCACCATTTGGTCGATTCCTCTGTCACATCTTTCAGTAGGAGAGGGCTTCCTTCCTCCGTAACCACGTGTTTCAAACAATTGTAAACCATCTAGACACTTAAAAAATCTGGACGCGATTGTTACTTTTAAAGTCCTATAATGCATAAAATGTATATTGGTGTGACACATGACGTATATTTTCCCGCTAAATTTATCGTGGAAACCGAATGGCTGTATAGGTCAGGGGACGTGAGGTCACGAGACGTGAATTTCCCCGCTAAATTTAGCGGGGAAACTGGATTGGTGTCTGGGTCACAAGACAATAACTTTCCCGCTAAATTTAGTAGGGAAACTGAATTTATGTTTTGGCCAAAAAGACGTGAATTTTCCCGCTCTATTTGGCGGGGAAACTGAGTTGACGTATAGGCCCATGGTGTATAGGTCACGTGACGTCACTTGACGCCGCTTTCCCCGCTAAATTTAGCGGGAGATTGACGGGATTATTACACCTACACTCACGGGGAAGATATCCTACGGATACCGGTACGGTATCTGCCGGATATGCCCCGCATATTCTGCGCGTATCTCGGATACGTTCGACGTGTCTCTTGACTGCGGCAGACACATTATGTGCAGCTTTCTTTCGGAGCTCAGAATAGCTAATAAATATACACCCAGGCCACTTCAACAACAAACAGAGAACGACAACGACAACCGTGAACGACAACGAAAACAACGAACGACAACGACAAGAAATGACAACGACAACAACCGACAACGGCAACAAAAGACAACGACAACAAACGACAAGGACAACAACACAATTTGGTGCAGATTCGGTAACTTCCAACTTTATTTGAAGGGTTAAGATACACTTATTTCAGAGTTGCTGTCTGCCCACACCAGTAGTTTTTACGCCTGCACTTCGGCTATGAAAAAAAAAAAAAAAATACTAAAACGTTTTTTACGAACTTTTGATAAGAACATCCGCGGTAGCAGCTGCAAAAGTTTACCGTATCATGGCAGATGTTTTGTTACTGCGAGAATCTGGTGTACGGGGAGTGGCTGCAAAAGCCAGCACATTTGGTGCGCGTCGCAAAATGCAAATCCGAAACGCACATATCCAATTAAACATATCATGGCAGATCTCTTGTTACTGCAAGCATCTGGTGTACGAAGAGCGGCCGCAAAAGCCAGTATATTTTGGCGCTCGTTGCAAAATGCAAATCCGAAACGTACATACCCAATTCAACACAAACACGTGATCACGCTCGTCCACATCCGCGAGCGGAGAACTGGGTCAGCTTATGAAAGGGGGGCGGTTCATTGGTCTAGCGATAGCTTAGCTCCCACCGCACCTTCAGCGTGGGGTGAACGGGGGATGATGCTTTTTTTAACTGGATAGCGTTTAGAAGCCCATGTCGCAAAAGATCCGGCGTCGGCGGGACCAAAAAATCTTATAATACAACGCGCGCTGAGCCGTGTGACGTCACACGTGGCTGTGACGTCATAGCCCCATCAACCCACTAAATTTGGCGGCAAAGTTTTCCGGTAAATATAGCGAAACACTTTCACCGCCAAATTGAGAAAGAAATTTCCCTCAAAATTTAGCGAAAACTTTTCCCGCCCAATTTAGCGGAAAATTTGACCACCAAACTGCAGAAAATTTTCCGCCGACTTTCGCGGATTTTTTTCTACCGCCATATTTGGCGGACACCTAAAATACCCAATATAAAATTGGATCGCGCATCACTGATAATGTTTCATACCTAGGGGTAGTGGCGTCGCGACGGGTTACCGCACGGGGTGACGCTGACCCTATGACGCCACTGCTTAGGAGTGAGTATGGGCTGACGCCATCAGCCTGAAATGACCATAAACTTCGCGAGGGTGAACAGGACAGTGTCGGGGCCGATTCCGAACGAATGAAAAAGAAGTGCGGGCGGGAAGAAGAAAAGAAAAGGACACAAGCGGCGAGAGAGCGAGCGGCGCCGGAGAATCGAACCAGGCTAGGAGTGCGAAGACGTTGGACCTCAAGAGGTCTAAGAACGAAGTCTGCTGCTTCCCGATGGGCCTCGGCGCCAATCTACCTTGCAACTGACCTGATCTTGTTGGAAGCAAGAACGGTCTGCAAATCTCGCACCCAGCAAGAACGAAACATCCCCGGTGCAAATCAAGACCCCGCCAACTCCAGAAGATAACTGAAAACCGAAGCGGTTTTGAGTTATCTTCTGCAATCAACCGAAGCCCATGGCATCTACACCAGCCTGCGGCCAGTGATCTACACCAAACTCGTGAGCTGGATTTAGCCTCCCCCACTTGTAACTTTTGCGATCGTTTCTCTTCCTTGATTGTATATATTTGTGAATTTATGGTTTACTTTTATTTAATTATTTTTTGAGGACCAATCCATATTTGTGTTTCCAACGATACAACTGTGTCTCGACTAACTGATTAAAATCCATAATTCACTAACCACAACCCGACAGCAGCCACAGCTTTTGCCACCGTTCACTAAAGCTCGATATGGCTTGCGGTATCACTTTCAGGTCCAAAGATGGATACAAAGTGAGATAGACGTCTCGCGTTTCGAATGCGCCGCGAGCAGTACGCATGGACTCATCGGTACCTTTGCGTCAGAAGACCTAGGGGCCACCTTGGGGTACAAGTAATCCGAAGCACCCGGGAAAACTGGGTACAAGTGCTGCATAGAAAGAAGAGGGAAAACAAGGGTGGGACGGAAATCCCCGTCGACGAAGACCAGGACGGCAAGGGGGCCAGGGAGGCCCATGCAAATAAGAAGCCCAAACCGAGGAAACCCCTGCGGTTGCCCAGTATGACGGAGTTCGAGCATAAAGTCATTATCAGGCCTAGACGCGTTGCGATCGACTTTATTTGACAAAACCCTGACTGCAGATCGTTACATGAATGGGTAGGCTGCCTACGACCTAGGCTTGAGGGCGTGCACCAGGAACACCGGAGAGTCGAAAGGTGAGCCGCCGGCTTCTTTCTGAGCCCACCACTCTTTCGCTTGCTCGGTGACATCTTCGAGCAGGAGAGACCGTTCTTCCTCTGTTACGATGGTTGTCAGGATATTCCCAGCTATTTGATACTCTGGAAAAAAATATTTAGGTGGTTATAATTTTTAGAGGACCCGCCTCTACAGGCCCAGAATTGTTTTATTTGGCCAATGTGTGTAAAAAAAGATAAAGGTGGCACCTATAAATATTGCTGATATGTTAAGTTTATGCAAAAATACCATAGTCAAACACAAAATATTACACCTCTGCTTAGAGATAACTCAAATAAACACACATTTCGAGTGTTTCGTGAAATGAAATTTAATTGAGTGTGGTCATAATTAATTATTTTTGTCTCAGTCCGAGACGCGTTCCAGACACCATCGAGAACGGTCAACTTTCTCCGGGCTCCGCGAACCCCGGAGGAGTAGAGGAACGTGATCCATAGACTCCGTCAAAAGGCCTGACTCGGCCAGGCGCGTGGGGCGGGGTGCTGTCGGTACAGCCGCCTCGCTGAACCCAATCTCAAGACGCTTGCTCGTTCGAGGGTTGCCTGAAAATGGAAATGGAAACAAGCCTCTGAGGAAGCTAATGGAAGGTCCAGTGGCCGGCCATAACCCAGAAGAAATGTCGCGTGTTGTTTTTGACCCGGCACAGCAGCCATTTCCGGCAGAAGACCTAGGGGCCACCTTGGGGTACAAGTAATCCGAAGCACCCGGGAAAACTGGGTACAAGTGCTGCATAGAAAGAAGAGGGAAAACAAGGGTGGGACGGAAATCCCCGTCGACGAAGACCAGGACGGCAAGGGGGCCAGGGAGGCCCATGCAAATAAGAAGCCCAAACCGAGGAAACCCCTGCGGTTGCCCAGTATGACGGAGTTCGAGCATAAAGTCATTATCAGGCCTAGACGCGTTGCGATCGACTTGAAGCAATACAATAGCCAACTAGGGGAGGCGGTACGCAACTCTCTGGCGAAGGAACTGGAGGACGGAACCGTTGTCCGCTTGCTCAAAGCGCAAAACACGATCATGGTGTGCACGGACGAGTTGACGGAGGCGGAGGCCGTGGCGGGAATCAGGAAGCTGAACTTTTTGGTCGGACAACTAGGTGTCGAGGCGTACCACGTTTCACCGAGAGAAGACGCATGTTGGGGCGTAATTCACGGAGCTAGCCTGGATTTGACCGATGAGCAGATGAGACAGAAGACCAAGCCTTTCGGGTACGAAATTCTTGAAGCGAGGAGGCTTGGAAGATCGCATTCGTTTGTTATCATCTTCGCGGGAAACAAGGTCCCTTTCATGGTAAGATTCATTCGGCTTGAAACCCCGTGCTTCATCTATAAAAAAACTAAGGCACCATGCCTCAACTGCGGCGAGGTGGGCCATTGAACATATATGGTTTGCAGCAAATCGGCCGGTTTCGCTATTTGATATGCGGCACAGCCAATGTGACGCTCGGAAAGAATAACAACTGCACGTTTGGGATTGTGGAAAGGGCGGCCTCTGACGCGCCTTTCCCTGGTGTCAAACGGTGAGACAGTAAATTATGGCCCGAGGGTAAGTTGCGTTGGCGACTTGGTGCGAACATGGTTTCGTGCAAACGCGGACGCCCGACCCCTGACCGCCCCCTCCCCCAACCTGCTCAGAAGGTCATGTTCACCGTCGCTCATGGCTCGCTCTTCAGTGAATCGCTTCGGAAACACGTGATTTATTACCCAGACTGGAGAGCCCTGTCAGCTATGCGGCACTCGGCGCGGCTTTTGCAAAAGCAACCTGAACCCCCCGTCCTCAGCACATGGGGCGCGGAGTTGGAGAAAACACAGAAGAAATTGCCGTTGAAATGTCACTTGGAGCTAGGCTAGCGAAGTTGGAAAAACGGGGTGCGTTAGGGTATTTTCTCCATGAAGATAGTTATCGTTATTTTCCTTTTCCCTTGTTACGACCTTTTCCAACCACCCTATGATGTCCGCACGGCCCCCGGTACACGCCGCACACGACGATATTGAGGGAATATTTCCACGGACAAATGAACGGGAACGTAAGACTGCGCAAAACTGAATGGGCCCGAACGGAAGTTGAGAACTTGTTTTT